AGTAGTAGTAGTAGTAGTAGTAGTAGTAGTAGTAGTAGTAGTAGTAGTAGTAGTAGTAGTAGTAGTAGTAGTAGTAGTAGTAGTAGTAGTAGTAGTAGTAGTAGTAGTAGTAGTATAGTAGTAGTAGTAGTAGTAGTAGTAGTAGTAGTAGTAGTAGTAGTAGTAGTAGTAGTAGTAGTAGTAGTAGTTAGTAGTAGTAGTAGTAGTAGTAGTAGTAGTAGTAGTAGTAGTAGTAGTAGTAGTAGTAGTAGTAGTAGTAGTAGTAGTCGTAGTGGTAGTAGTAGTAGTAGTAGTAGTAGTCGTAGTGGTAGTAGTAGTAGTAGTAGTAGTAGTAGTAGTAGTAGTAGTAGTAGTAGTAGTAGTAGTAGTAGTAGTAGTAGTAGTAGTAGTAGTAGTAGTAGTAGTAGTAGTAGTAGTAGTAGTAGTAGTAGTAGTAGTAGTAGTAGTAGTAGTAGTAGTAGTAGTAGTAGTAGTAGTAGTAGTAGTAGTAGTAGTAGTAGTAGTAGTAGTAGTAGTAGTAGTAGTAGTAGTAGTAGCAGTAGCAGTAGCAGTAGCAGTAGCAGTAGCAGTAGCAGTAGCAGTAGCAGTAGCAGTAGCAGTAGCAGTAGCAGTAGCAGTAGCAGTAGCAGTAGCAGTAGCAGTAGCAGTAGCAGTAGCAGTAGCAGTAGCAGTAGCAGTAGCAGTAGCAGTAGCAGTAGCAGTAGCAGTAGCAGTAGCAGTAGCAGTAGCAGTAGCAGTAGCAGTAGCAGTAGCAGTAGCAGTAGCAGTAGCAGTAGCAGTAGCAGTAGCAGTAGCAGTAGCAGTAGCAGTAGCAGTAGCAGTAGCAGTAGCAGTAGCAGTAGCAGTAGCAGTAGCAGTAGCAGTAGCAGTAGCAGTAGCAGTAGCAGTAGCAGTAGCAGTAGCAGTAGCAGTAGCAGTAGCAGTAGCAGTAGCAGTAGCAGTAGCAGTAGCAGTAGCAGTAGCAGTAGCAGTAGCAGTAGCAGTAGCAGTAGCAGTAGCAGTAGCAGTAGCAGTAGCAGTAGCAGTAGCAGTAGCAGTAGCAGTAGCAGTAGCAGTAGCAGTAGCAGTAGCAGTAGCAGTAGCAGTAGCAGTAGCAGTAGCAGTAGCAGTAGCAGTAGCAGTAGCAGTAGCAGTAGCAGTAGCAGTAGCAGTAGCAGTAGCAGTAGCAGTAGCAGTAGCAGTAGCAGTAGCAGTAGCAGTAGCAGTAGCAGTAGCAGTAGCAGTAGCAGTAGCAGTAGCAGTAGCAGTAGCAGTAGCAGTAGCAGTAGCAGTAGCAGTAGCAGTAGCAGTAGCAGTAGCAGTAGCAGTAGCAGTAGCAGTAGCAGTAGCAGTAGCAGTAGCAGTAGCAGTAGCAGTAGCAGTAGCAGTAGCAGTAGCAGTAGCAGTAGCAGTAGCAGTAGCAGTAGCAGTAGCAGTAGCAGTAGCAGTAGCAGTAGCAGTAGCAGTAGCAGTAGCAGTAGCAGTAGCAGTAGTAGTAGTAGTAGTAGTAGTAGTAGTAGTAGTAGTAGTAGTAGTAGTAGTAGTAGTAGTAGTAGTAGTAGTAGTAGTAGTAGTAGTAGTAGTAGTAGTAGTAGTAGTAGTAGTAGTAGTAGTAGTAGTAGTAGTAGTAGTAGTAGTAGTAGTAGTAGTAGTAGTAGTAGTAGTAGTAGTAGTAGTAGTAGTAGTAGTAGTAGTAGTAGTAGTAGTAGTAGTAGTAGTAGTAGTAGTAGTAGTAGTAGTAGTAGTAGTAGTAGTAGTAGTAGTAGTAGTAGTAGTAGTAGTAGTAGTAGTAGTAGTAGTAGTAGTAGTAGTAGTAGTAGTAGTAGTAGTAGTAGTAGTAGTAGTAGTAGTAGTAGTAGTAGTAGTAGTAGTAGTAGTAGTAGTAGTAGTAGTAGTAGTAGTAGTAGTAGTAGTAGTAGTAGTAGTAGTAGTAGTAGTAGTAGTAGTAGTAGTAGTAGTAGTAGTAGTAGTAGTAGTAGTAGTAGTAGTAGTAGTAGTAGTAGTAGTAGTAGTAGTAGTAGTAGTAGTAGTAGTAGTAGTAGTAGTAGTAGTAGTAGTAGTAGTAGTAGTAGTAGTAGTAGTAGTAGTAGTAGTAGTAGTAGTAGTAGTAGTAGTAGTAGTAGTAGTAGTAGTAGTAGTAGTAGTAGTAGTAGTAGTAGTAGTAGTAGTAGTAGTAGTAGTAGTAGTAGTAGTAGTAGTAGTAGTAGTAGTAGTAGTAGTAGTAGTAGTAGTAGTAGTAGTAGTAGTAGTAGTAGTAGTAGTAGTAGTAGTAGTAGTAGTAGTAGTAGTAGTAGTAGTAGTAGTAGTAGTAGTAGTAGTAGTAGTAGTAGTAGTAGTAGTAGTAGTAGTAGTAGTAGTAGTAGTAGTAGTAGTAGTAGTAGTAGTAGTAGTAGTAGTAGTAGTAGTAGTAGTAGTAGTAGTAGTAGTAGTAGTAGTAGTAGTAGTAGTAGTAGTAGTAGTAGTAGTAGTAGTAGTAGTAGTAGTAGTAGTAGTAGTAGTAGTAGTAGTAGTAGTAGTAGTAGTAGTAGTAGTAGTAGTAGTAGTAGTAGTAGTAGTAGTAGTAGTAGTAGTAGTAGTAGTAGTAGTAGTAGTAGTAGTAGTAGTAGTAGTAGTAGTAGTAGTAGTAGTAGTAGTAGTAGTAGTAGTAGTAGTAGTAGTAGTAGTAGTAGTAGTAGTAGTAGTAGTAGTAGTAGTAGTAGTAGTAGTAGTAGTAGTAGTAGTAGTAGTAGTAGTAGTAGTAGTAGTAGTAGTAGTAGTAGTAGTAGTAGTAGTAGTAGTAGTAGTAGTAGTAGTAGTAGTAGTAGTAGTAGTAGTAGTAGTAGTAGTAGTAGTAGTAGTAGTAGTAGTAGTAGTAGTAGTAGTAGTAGTAGTAGTAGTAGTAGTAGTAGTAGTAGTAGTAGTAGTAGTAGTAGTAGTAGTAGTAGTAGTAGTAGTAGTAGTAGTAGTAGTAGTAGTAGTAGTAGTAGTAGTAGTAGTAGTAGTAGTAGTAGTAGTAGTAGTAGTAGTAGTAGTAGTAGTAGTAGTAGTAGTAGTAGTAGTAGTAGTAGTAGTAGTAGTAGTAGTAGTAGTAGTAGTAGTAGTAGTAGTAGTAGTAGTAGTAGTAGTAGTAGTAGTAGTAGTAGTAGTAGTAGTAGTAGTAGTAGTAGTAGTAGTAGTAGTCACATCCTTTATTGCTGAACCCACAAATAATTGTGATACAAATTGTAAACCAACCGAGGAAGAAGAGAAAGCCATTAAAAATAAAAAATAAAACAAAAAAAGGTTATTGTACCATGCCAAACGGCTATTATTAAGTCATGTACCAATTGTAATACATGACGTAGTATAGTAGTCAAGCACCTACAAAATACTTTGCAGGATAATATTTAAATTGCCTAGCATGCCTACAAATCCGCAGAGCATGCCAATGTTAAATAGGCCAACATATGAATGAATACCGAAGGCGGTTACATGGACAGAAGGCGACATTGGTCGAGAAAAGATGGGCCTATTCTCTTCCTCAAGTAAGACGCTCTGCAACCACGGAGGCACGTGATTGACCACCTCAGCAAAACAAATGCAATTTTGCAGCGTAGCTGTGCCATCACAACAGCGTACTGGAGGTCACTATGCTTGTTAACCACCAGCTGAACAATGTTCTTCAATGCACGAGAGCACTCCGTGCCACATACGCCGTTTGTCGAGAATACGAGCGGAGTGAATGACCCCCTCTCGACATCGACAACACGCTGAAGATAGGCCCGCTTCTTCTGATGTTCATTCCGGGAAATCTGTGCAAGGACTTCCTGTCGCGACAGCAAAGACGCCGAGGGGTGAGTAACCCTCACATCAAAGAATGCATCTTGCTGTGGCGACCAAAAGCCCCTTGCACGGATATCCAATCGAGCCTCTGCAGCACGATTAGCGGTAGCGCCGTGAAGTTGTTCACCATCCAACGGCAAAAGCGGTGGCTCTGTCTGAACATCCGGGATGGCAGAAGTCATCACCTCCACCAGCACATCACGAAGCTCATTGTGTCGCAGACTTGGGTAGCCTCCTGTAGGGCATGTCAATGCATGGTCGACAGACATGTCTCTACCACACACACAAGTTGGTGGGAGGCCATCAATACCCCAGCCATAGCGCAGGGCGAGACCATCCCGGAAACATGCTTTATTTAGCGCAAAGCCGTTCACAGCCAGAGGCTCAGCCGTTAGCCAACTGGACACGCCAGCATCAGCAGCAATCTCCAACAGCACTCGCTGACATGGGCTGAGCTCAGGACGCAAAGCAACCTGAGCCTCCTTAGCCGCAGTAGCCATTCTCCGACGTTCGGCATTTCGCAACGCTATTACCTCCGCCTGCAAATCAGCCGGAGCAATGTCAGCATCAGGGCGACGAAGCAAATCAATCACCGGCCGTGCCGAGGCCATACTGGAGGTCCACTGATGCACTGCATGAGGCCCAATGGCAGGAATTGAGAGTGTAGTAGTAGTAGTAGTAGTAGTAGTAGTAGTAGTAGTAGTAGTAGTAGTAGTAGTAGTAGTAGTAGTAGTAGTAGTAGTAGTAGTAGTAGTAGTAGTAGTAGTAGTAGTAGTAGTAGTAGTAGTAGTAGTAGTAGTAGTAGTAGTAGTAGTAGTAGTAGTAGTAGTAGTAGTAGTAGTAGTAGTAGTAGTAGTAGTAGTAGTAGTAGTAGTAGTAGTAGTAGTAGTAGTAGTAGTAGTAGTAGTAGTAGTAGTAGTAGTAGTAGTAGTAGTAGTAGTAGTAGTAGTAGTAGTAGTAGTAGTAGTAGTAGTAGTAGTAGTAGTAGTAGTAGTAGTAGTAGTAGTAGTAGTAGTAGTAGTAGTAGTAGTAGTAGTAGTAGTAGTAGTAGTAGTAGTAGTAGTAGTAGTAGTAGTAGTAGTAGTAGTAGTAGTAGTAGTAGTAGTAGTAGTAGTAGTAGTAGTAGTAGTAGTAGTAGTAGTAGTAGTAGTAGTAGTAGTAGTAGTAGTAGTAGTAGTAGTAGTAGTAGTAGTAGTAGTAGTAGTAGTAGTAGTAGTAGTAGTAGTAGTAGTAGTAGTAGTAGTAGTAGTAGTAGTAGTAGTAGTAGTAGTAGTAGTAGTAGTAGTAGTAGTAGTAGTAGTAGTAGTAGTAGTAGTAGTAGTAGTAGTAGTAGTAGTAGTAGTAGTAGTAGTAGTAGTAGTAGTAGTAGTAGTAGTAGTAGTAGTAGTAGTAGTAGTAGTAGTAGTAGTAGTAGTAGTAGTAGTAGTAGTAGTAGTAGTAGTAGTAGTAGTAGTAGTAGTAGTAGTAGTAGTAGTAGTAGTAGTAGTAGTAGTAGTAGTAGTAGTAGTAGTAGTAGTAGTAGTAGTAGTAGTAGTAGTAGTAGTAGTAGTAGTAGTAGTAGTAGTAGTAGTAGTAGTAGTAGTAGTAGTAGTAGTAGTAGTAGTAGTAGTAGTAGTAGTAGTAGTAGTAGTAGTAGTAGTAGTAGTAGTAGTAGTAGTAGTAGTAGTAGTAGTAGTAGTAGTAGTAGTAGTAGTAGTAGTAGTAGTAGTAGTAGTAGTAGTAGTAGTAGTAGTAGTAGTAGTAGTAGTAGTAGTAGTAGTAGTAGTAGTAGTAGTAGTAGTAGTAGTAGTAGTAGTAGTAGTAGTAGTAGTAGTAGTAGTAGTAGTAGTAGTAGTAGTAGTAGTAGTAGTAGTAGTAGTAGTAGTAGTAGTAGTAGTAGTAGTAGTAGTAGTAGTAGTAGTAGTAGTAGTAGTAGTAGTAGTAGTAGTAGTAGTAGTAGTAGTAGTAGTAGTAGTAGTAGTAGTAGTAGTAGTAGTAGTAGTAGTAGTAGTAGTAGTAGTAGTAGTAGTAGTAGTAGTAGTAGTAGTAGTAGTAGTAGTAGTAGTAGTAGTAGTAGTAGTAGTAGTAGTAGTAGTAGTAGTAGTAGTAGTAGTAGTAGTAGTAGTAGTAGTAGTAGTAGTAGTAGTAGTAGTAGTAGTAGTAGTAGTAGTAGTAGTAGTAGTAGTAGTAGTAGTAGTAGTAGTAGTAGTAGTAGTAGTAGTAGTAGTAGTAGTAGTAGTAGTAGTAGTAGTAGTAGTAGTAGTAGTAGTAGTAGTAGTAGTAGTAGTAGTAGTAGTAGTAGTAGTAGTAGTAGTAGTAGTAGTAGTAGTAGTAGTAGTAGTAGTAGTAGTAGTAGTAGTAGTAGTAGTAGTAGTAGTAGTAGTAGTAGTAGTAGTAGTAGTAGTAGTAGTAGTAGTAGTAGTAGTAGTAGTAGTAGTAGTAGTAGTAGTAGTAGTAGTAGTAGTAGTAGTAGTAGTAGTAGTAGTAGTAGTAGTAGTAGTAGTAGTAGTAGTAGTAGTAGTAGTCATCAGCCAGCTCCGAACGCATGAACGGATGAAGAAGCGCCAGTACGGAGAGCGGGTGACAGCAGTTGACAGAGGTACGTTTACACCGCTAGTTTTTTCTACCTCGGGCATGATTGGCAGAGAATGTTCAATGGCACTGAAGACACTGGCATGCCTGATTGCTGAGAAGAACGTCGACCTACACGTATCGGTTATCATGGGTCAGCTCCGTTGTAAGCTGTCAGTCTGCCTTATGCGATGGGCAGTCACCTGTTTGCGTGGTTCAAGATCGTCATACCGCCGCAACAGGATGAATTTCACGACGATGTGCAGGTTGCGGGCAGCCTGAGCGTGATAGTACCTGACAGACATTTGCCCAACATTGCCCCATGATAATGAATTCTTGAGTTTTTGGACATTGTATTGCATTGCTGCTCCATCTACATGGCTGTATTTGTGTTTCACATCTCCATTTCAAGTTTCCTAATAAAGATGGTGTCAAGTAGTAGTAGTAGTAGTAGTAGTAGTAGTAGTAGTAGTAGTAGTAGTAGTAGTAGTAGTAGTAGTAGTAGTAGTAGTAGTAGTAGTAGTAGTAGTAGTAGTAGTAGTAGTAGTAGTAGTAGTAGTAGTAGTAGTAGTAGTAGTAGTAGTAGTAGTAGTAGTAGTAGTAGTAGTAGTAGTAGTAGTAGTAGTAGTAGTAGTAGTAGTAGTAGTAGTAGTAGTAGTAGTAGTAGTAGTAGTAGTAGTAGTAGTAGTAGTAGTAGTAGTAGTAGTAGTAGTAGTAGTAGTAGTAGTAGTAGTAGTAGTAGTAGTAGTAGTAGTAGTAGTAGTAGTAGTAGTAGTAGTAGTAGTAGTAGTAGTAGTAGTAGTAGTAGTAGTAGTAGTAGTAGTAGTAGTAGTAGTAGTAGTAGTAGTAGTAGTAGTAGTAGTAGTAGTAGTAGTAGTAGTAGTAGTAGTAGTAGTAGTAGAATTTATTATTTTACTAGGGAACTCCCAACAGGCGTTGCCTTTTTACTGGGAACCCTAGACATGTGGAGACAAACACAAAACAAGACACAGGGGATGTAGGGACGACGTGCCCATGTACAGGGAGCAACTCGACCGACCAGGGGTATCGGCGTTAGCATTGCAACCTGGCATCGATAAAAAAGGGGGGGGGTTGCATGGTCAAGTAACAAAAATAATAAATTGGTGCGAAAAAGGGGCGCTAGTATTGCACAAAACAATATAAATACGTGTAATACCTAAACCGGAAAGGAAAAAGAAAAAGAGAACAATAATCATAACAAGCAAGTACTAGTAGAAAGGTAAATGGGTCTCAATATCATCGTCACAGGTACTGTGTGGACCACAGCCATCTCTTTCGGATTAGATCCTTACATACGTTGACCTTGAAGGTATGGAGGCGTCTTGAATGAGGTTCGTGAAGCAGGAGGTCCGCAGGCAGGTTGTTCTAGGGTGTGATGGCGAAGAAGGGGAAGGATCGCAGGAGGTAGTCAGGGGCTGTGCGAGGGGGTCCACTTCTGCTGGTAGCCATGGTGCGTCTGACGTTTTTGCCGTGTGCACATGCTAGCTACGGCAGGGGGCTTGGTTGGTGGCAGCATGGCCTTTACCTGAGGAGGCCCTGGGATGTAGTGCAGATTGTACAAGTATGACAGGGCTGCCACCATCCGACGAAGCTGAAGACTTTGGAGGATGGTTCCAGGTCAAAGCCGATCTCCCCCTAGCATAATGAGGGTCAGAACCGGGTTCAACACCCATATGGTTCAAATGGTCCGCTGGGGCCGGGGCTCTGCCAACCGCGGAATGTTGTAGTGTCCTCCACCTTGTTTCATGCTGTCACTTTAGCAATACACTGACAGTACGTGTACCATGTACCATGTACACGCCCGTCGCAAGAGAAACACGCAAATCTGCAAATGCACTGGATGTGCGCCCACATAATTATGTTCTCTTGTACTTATAGCAACGATAGCGATGAGTATTTCCAAATCCAATGTGCTGAACATAGTCGCAATCCACGCAAACTGTGGCATATCATCAACACTGTAACATCTCGAACTCGCCAACGTATTGAGCCAACGTGTGATGTGGAGGATGTCGCCACAGCCTTCAGTAAAGTTGTGACTGATAATGATAGACCCCCTGTGCTCACCATGCCACAGGGTCCATCACGCCCCACAGCGTTATCAGCTTTCCAGTATGTCCGAACCAACTCTGTTTATCGTCTCCTGAGAGGCATCAATGCAGCCAAGGCCACAGGCAGTGACAGCATCCCAGGAGTACTTCTGAAGTGCTGTGCTGATATCATTGCTCCGTCTGTTGCTGCTCTCTTCAATGCCTCACTATCCCGTGGTACAGTACCCTCTGCCTTCAAGCTTGCACACGTATCACCGCTATATAAAGCTGGTGACCCAGCAGTTCCCACTCACTTCCGTCCAATTTCCCTTCTCCCAATCCTGTCCAAGCTTTTAGAGAAGCTAGTGCAGAAGGAACTTGTATCAGTCATGAACATCACGGAGTCACTTCCCTCCACTCAGTTTGCATTTCGCAGCGGCCATTCCACTGAGGATGCACTAGCTCTCATCACCAACCGTATCCTTACTGCCCGGGACAAACGAATGACACAGGTGTCTGCTTACTGGACATGTCCAAAGCATTCGATAAAGTTAGACATCACCAACTAATTCTCGACCTCTTCAATGTTGGTGTCACGGCCACAGCCCTGCGGTGGTTCATTTCTTACCTCTCCGAACGGACCCAGCGTGTGTGTATCGGACCATCACGTAGCACTATCACTCTCTGCACCTGCGGAGTGCCACAGGGATCTGTGCTCGGCCCCATTTTGTTCAACATATACACTCGGGAAATACCCTATGTTGCTGGACATGCTTTGTCTTTGCAGTTTGCAGATGACATTGGTCTCACTTGCAGCAAACCGACTAAGTCTGAAGTGTCTGCAATTCTGTCTGCGTCAGCTTCAGCTATTGCTAACTGGCTAAACGACCGTGGCTTGATCCTGAATGCTTCCAAAAGCCAGGTGATCTCCATTTCCGGGAACCTACCTGAGAAGCATACTCCACTCTCGGTGAACTGTAACGGGACCCTGCTGCCTCTTGTGGAGTCTGCCAGGTACCTTGGCGTAACATTTGATAGCAACATGTCTTGGGATGACCACGTAACCCGCTGTGCAAACCGTGTATCACGAAAGATCGGAGTCCTGTGGAGGATGCGGCGTTGCCTCAGCACACATGGTCGGATAACTTATTTCCAGTCCATCATAATGCCCGATCTTCTATATGGATCAAATGCATTTTCGACATCTCTGGCAGCCAGGCACTGTCATCGACTACAGGTTCTGCAAACCCGTGGTGCCCGTGTAGTGTTCGGACGCCCGCCGTGGACATCCGCACATGACCTACTGGAGCGCCTCTCACTGTATCGGGTTACCGAAGTGTACAAGCAGAAGCTGGCATTCCTTGCATGGCGCTGCCGTTACGGCCAAGCAAGTCCTGAGCTTCAGGTTCTCTTACTGCCAGCTTGTGGCCGGTCCACGCGCCTGGACTCCAGCATGGGTCTCTGCCTGCCACCCGCCCGCAGCAACTCTGGAAAGGGGACATTCGCCTTCCAGGGTGCGCTATGCTGGAACAACCTGCCAAGCAGTATTCGCTCCATCTCTGTTCCTCGTCAATTCCGTGCTGCCGCAGTCCCGTTTCTTCTATGAACTGAGAACATTGCAAAGCAATTGTATGTGTGGCTGTCAATGTACATGTGTGTGTGTGTGTGTGTGTGTTTTGTGTGTGTGTGTGTGTGTGTGTGTGTGCACGCGCGTGTGTGTGTGGGGGGGGGGGGGTATGTGTCTAAGTATGTGTGTATTGGTGCGTAGGTGTGGGTATGTACATGTAGATGTATGTATGTGTGTTTGTGGGTGTAGGTGTGGGTGTGTGGATGTGTGGATGTGTGGGTGTGTGGATGTGTGGGTGTGTGGATGTGTGGATGTTTGGGCGTACATGTAGATGTGCAATGCTTCGATTTCTCTATCTTCTCTTCTCTTCTCTCTTCCTTTCGGGGTCTCCCGCTTCTGGGCCGGCATGGCCCATGCTTCATGCGTGCTTGTTCCTGGTGTTGTTTTGTCTACTGTGTCCTGCCGCTACTCCGGCTTTGGCCGTGACCACGATGTGTCTCCCCATTTTCTCCTTCATCCTTTCCTTTGTCTTTTTGCTAAAAGCTTTCTTCTCGCCGTGACCACGATTTTTCTTCTTCTTCTTCTTCTCCATTGTTCTTTTTCTTTCCTTCCTTTCTCTTCTTCCTTTGCCGAGAACCTTCTGTTCCCATTATTTTCTTTTCATCTCTGTCCCCATTCCTGGGTTATTTGGACCTCATTCGCTTCCTTGTCATTGGACATGTTCAGTCCGTTCGGTTTGCGAATTTAAATAAACACAACCAACCAGCGAACAGGATCTGAATGAGACAGATCAAGACTTGCGCCAGATAACTGTCTAATCCACACAACCGGCGAAGCGAATCGACCCCCGACCCCCTTAAAATAAACTTAACAACAACAACGACAACAACAATGCACACCTGGTCTACACCACACGGAGTACATCGGCAGAGCACGGCCAAGACAGTCATAGTAGTACCAAGAGTACGTGGTTACGTACTCTTGGTAGTACTTCTGGTACAGTTGTACCGGTACTACAGTAAAACTGTGCAGTAGACTCTACTCAGTACTGTGCTAGATAGCCTACAACTAACTACTTGTACTGTTGTAGCCTGGACTCAAATCAGCAGACGACACGTACAGTAGGTCTGCGTGACGGACATTGTTATCTAGATCTACGCTAGCTCTGTTCTTTTCGCTATAAAATCGAACCTCGCTAGTG